ATAACAACTATCCAAATACTCACTTTATCATAATTACTTTTTTACAAAATTTATCCTCTCAAAAATCTATTCTATAGAAGTTATTTTCTAAATTATGGTTTGATTTCATCCAAACACTCTCTTAATGTAAACTTGATTTTAAAAGTGATTTTGGGGTATATAAAATAAATATGTGAAAAAATATACCTTGATTTGTGAAAAAGTGCTTTTCAAAAATATTTTTATGACGCCTTTTATATTTAATGAATGTTTATATTCTTATGAATGATTTTGCGACAAACAAGATAAATACATGAAACAAAAAATTATCTCAATTTATTTAAAAACATTTTTTTAAGTGATCCTCGGATTTGCCAAACTCTTCCCTAGCCATACTAGACATAGCAATAGAGTTAGAAAAATGGGTCAAGCCCTTCGCACAGGCCTATTTAGGCCCAAAAATTATAAGAGTTAGGTTTGAAGTTTTTTCTCTCAAATAGAAAATAGACCCTACAAGCTAGTTCTGTGGGGTCAAGGGCTTAAACGAGTAGGCCTGTTTGAGCCTTTTTTTTAGTTTTTTAGTTTTTTTTATTTTTTGTGTAATTATAATATTATTAATTTTTTACATAGTTAATGATATTTCAAATATTTAGTTATTATTATCATTTTAAAATTAAATTTCATGAAATAGTTTGATTTATTTAGTTTTAGACAATAATTTGTTCAATTAAATTTTTAAAAAAGGGTTAATTTGGACTTTAATAATAATCTGATTTATATTATATGTGTTGATATTTTAAAATTATATATATTTGATAAGAGAGTGTTTTTATACTTATGTAACTTGTGATTCTATAATTTGAATTATAAATTTATGAGTTTGAACAACAATGATTCTCAAACTAAAGTAAAATAATAACTAGACTGCAAAATTTAAAAATAAAATTCTTATAAAGAAGAAAAATTTGATATTTTTATTACGAAAGAAAAGCATACTTATTAGGAAGAGTAATTGATTATAGTGATGATAAAGTTTCAAAAGGTTAACGATAGTGTTTGTTTATTGCACATTTGCACTATAAATTAAACTTTTGGATGTTGCTATCTTGTTAATGAATGTTTTAGATATTTCTGGATGTTAATGAATATTTATATATGATGATATTTTGTATTGATGATTTAATTTTATTCATATTTATATCTTTTATTAATAATTTTATTGGTTTATTTTTATATTTTTAATAAAAAATATGAAAAATAGTTTTTTTTTCCTAAACGGGCCGAAGCCCGCCAACCAACCTTAAACCAATTAGCTGAAAGGTCGGGCCTAACAAATTAAAGTATTTTTAAAATTTCAGACTTGTAGTGTCGGTCCTGCCCGTATTCCCACATTTACATAGCAAACTTTATCTTTTTGGGACTTATTAAAATAAGTTATAAACAGTTTTTTAATTGTGATTTATAGAACATAAAATAAGTAAATAATTTTTTTATATTTCAACTTACATAAACATATTTATAAATACTTATAAATTATAGATGTAAGCATGATCTTCTCGCAGTTCAAAAAAAAAAAAATCTTATCGAGCGTGAAAGAAAAAGTAAAACTTACCGGTGGCCCGTTTAGAATCTGTTGGCGACGGCACTTTGCCTAGCTCTCATGAGGAATTGATTTATTAAACCAAGCATATGATTTAATTAAAATTTATTTATTTATTTATTTTTAAAAGTATAAATTTATGTTACTATAAATAATTAAACATAAAAATATATTATTTAATTCAAATATTATTTTAGCTTCACGACTCTCAGAAGGCCACTTTACGTGGTTTCATTGTCAACTACATTTTCATCAAAATCGTTTGTCTTTTTATATGTGTGTGTGTGTGTATAAGACAATTAATAGCGCACGTATAAATATGCTAATGCCAAACTTAAACCCAAAATTCCATTCAAATGTGATGAATGATACTGCCACTGAGACAATTATCCGTTGACAAATCGCTGGTATTTTTGCTTCGCTTTGTTGCTAGTGGACTGGGTTCAGTTCATTTTATTTTATTGAGTGAATCATTTTATTTTAGTTGTTAAACATTCAGTGACCAGCATTTGTTCTCGTTGCAATAAGATGGCAGTGCTCGTATAAAAGTTATTACATTTTCATCCTTATTTAAATTAATGACATTTTTCGTTCTACTGTATTTTATGACTTTGAAAGTGAAAGAATTGAAAAGTGAAAGAATTGAACATATGTGTTTTGTTATAAGCCATTGCAGTGTTTTCCAAACTATTTAATAAAACTATCTAAACACATCCATCAACACACACGTGCGCGTTGTGCGTGTTTTAACGTAAATGTAACAGAAGTTTACATAAGAGTTACCACCTCCGTTTTCTAATACTACTTCTAATCCTTAATATAAGATACTGTTTAATTTTTATTTTAGTCCTAAATATAAAACCTCAATTCACTTTGTCTCACATATTTATATATTTTTTTTCAAAATAGTCCTTCTAACAATGGCAGTTCTAGTCAATACACTTGATTAATAAGGATATTTTAAAAAAGACAATATCTATTTAGGACAAATAACCAACTCAACTTACTTCTTTAATTTCCTCAAATTAGTCAACTAGCTCTTATAATTAGGATTGAAGGTAGTATAAAAATTCATTTGATTTTTATTTTGATTCTAAATATAAGATCTAAATCTACTTTATTTTTTATTTATCTAATTTTTTTAATATAGTCCTTCTAATAATGACAGTTTAAGCTAATACACTTAATTAGCAAAGATATTTTAGGAAAGATCACATATTTATTAGAAATAACTAACTTAAGTAATTTTTTTAATCTACTCAAATTAGTTAACTAACTCTTATATTAAGAACCGAAGTCCGAAAGTAATATAATAACTTGTTTGACTTTTATTTTAGTTCTAAATATAAGACTTTAATTCACTTTATCTTTCATATTTATCTATTTTTTTAAAATAGTCATTATAACAATGATAGTTCTAACCAATATACTTGATTAACAAGGATATTTTAGAAAATACAATGTTTATTTATTACAAATAACTAACATAACCAGTTTTTTTAACGTACTCAAATTAGTTAACTAGCTATTATATTAACGGTACGAGATAATATTAATTGAATAGTCATTTATATATGTCTTTGGACATGTTTTTTTGCACGCAATGAATTTTTAGACGTGTTAGTGATCATATGAAATTGAAGTGCATGACAGAATTGAAGTATATTTCAGATAAATTCAAAATACATCACATCTGATGGCAAAAACTGAAAGGATGGCATTATAGAAATGAAAACCCCCGGAGGGGGGGGGGTTTGCGGCTCGCAATGACATACTTTGAACACCAACCAATAAAATTGCAAAATAATTAAATCTTATTTATATGGAAAATATATTACTTTTCATGATAATCATAGTTTATATGAACATGATAAGATTTTAAAGGAAACTGTAATAAAACTGCATGAAAGAAAAGGAGAAAAAACATATAATAATAGCATAAAATAGAGAAATACTAACTTTAGTCCTTAATATAAGAACTAATTGACTAATTTGAGTAGATTAAAAAAGTTTGTTAAGTTAGTTATTTGTAATTAATAAATGTTATCTTTTCTAAAATACCTTTACTAATCATATATACTAGCTCTAATGCTAATTATAAGAGCTAGTTGACTAGTTTGAGGAGATTAATAAGAGAAGCTGAGTTAGTTATTTGTAACAAATAGGTGTTTTTTTTCAAAATATCCTTACTAATCAAATGTTTTGGCTAGAACTACTATTGTTAGAAAGATTACTTTGGAAAAAAGTATAAATATGAGAAACAAAGTGGATTAGGATCTTATATTTATGACCAAAATAAAAGGTAAATAAGGTCTTATATTAAGGACCGGAGGTAGTATTAACTAAAACTGTCATTTGATGAAACTTTTAATACATACAACTATTATAATAATTACTTTAAAAAAATAAATAAACATAAAAAATAAAGTAGATTAAGATCTTATATTTAAAATTAAATTAATTATCAAAATTGCTTTTACATCAACCAGTATAAGGAATATAATATAGATATGCCTCGAGATTGTAATATACGAGTAATTTCAAATAATTAAATTTAAGTGAATCCAGATATTAATTAATTAATAGTATAAAAGATAGAGGAAGCAAACCATGCATGGTTGTGAACGTAAGTTCGCATCGGAGTCTGATCCGAACCGGATGTTCAGAGGAGATCTTTGAAGTTTGAATCCACTTGGGCAAAAAAAAGAAGAGAGGGAGAGAAAAGAAGAAGAAAGAAAGAACAAAGAAGGAAAGAAACCATCGAGCCAGAAAGAGGCCGTATGTTCAATATTGTAGAATTGTTGGCCAAAACGAAATGTCGTCGTATTGACTCTGACAATTCTCAATATGTCGTCCTTGATGGGGCCACGGGAATCGGCAGAGAACCGCTCACACGTGGCGCGCTCGCGCTTGATGAGCTGTCAACGGAAGAAATTGGCTGATTTAGCTCGCGCCGAACTTGTCAATAAACTGATGAAGCCGGTGGACCCCATCATTGCCGGTTATGAAGATTGAGGCACGATCATCTGCGTTTGTTAGTGAGGATCCTCAGACACCAGGTGCTTTTTCAGGTAGCGCCACTCTGTCAACCTCTCTTTCCAATCTTAGCTCTGCTTTTTCCTGGTTCTGAAATCTTAAGTAATCCACGAAGGATTCCATTTTTAAATGAATCTTCCTGGTTTCTTTAAATCTATGGATTTTGTGTTTTGTAAATAACCTGTTCTCACGACTTGATTTGGTGACGTGCGTGGCCTATATATATATCGTTGTTTTTGTGGCCTTTTGAATAACAAATTTGAATGTGTCTTTGTTTAACCGGCGACATAAAAAAAAAATTCTTAGAACCTGTTGGATATTCATACAAGTGCGCAAAGTTCTGTCCTCACCTCAAGTTTTGCACTCATTCCTCCGACTAGAGTGGCATCCGATATCTCCAAAAAATAAACTCATCAAATGTTCACGCTTCCTACTCGCTCTGCGTGCGCCCTGCCATTCTTAAGAAACCATCAATTCAGAGTGTGTCCCCCTGGTAGCATCAGAGAAGACAATCTCTGTGTTTCAAATAAATCATGTGCGAGCAAGAGGAAGTTCTTTAGGAACCGGTTGCGTTCTTACAGATCACCAGTATATGAAAGGCTCCACCTTTGGCAATCGGACCGGCCGGGGCGGTCGCCAAGGCTCAGGGTCGTTGTTCGGTCGGCATTATCAGGTGTGCCGGAGAAGCCGCTTGGTCTCTATGACCCTGCCTTTGATAAGGACTCTTGTGGGGTTGGGTTCGTTGCGGAATTATCCGGCGAATGCAGTCGTAAAACGGTAAGGATGGTTTGATTTTATGTACTTCATTTGGATATGTGGATTCATGTTGATGGTTGATGAACTCATGGTTGATTTTGTTTATTACAGGTGACTGATGCTATGGAGATGTTGCTACGTATGTCGCATAGAGGTGCTTGTGGGTGTGAGCCCAATACTGGAGACGGAGCCGGTATTCTCGTGGCTCTGCCTCATCAGTTTTACAAGGAGGCATGTATATTTTTTTCCCCCAGAAAGAAATGTATTTTTAAAGAGTTCATTTTTCATGTTCTTGACTTTGAGGTTGGTGATTGGTCTTACTGTTTCCAGATTTGGTTCTTTTGATTTATCAGGAAGCAGTAACACGTATTTTAATTTGTTTGAGTTGATCATACTTCGTTTTGGCTTTTACTGAGGCGTGTGAGCTTTATATTTGGATGTATTTTCATTTCATAATCTAATCTGCTTCATGCAGTATTTATTTATTTTCTAAAAACCACTTATCACCCTTAATATTAAACTGATGCGGAAATCTTTCCCCCCAGTACAAATAAAATTCTCCACCTTCGTAATAGTGGATCCTCACCATTTTTATTCTCTTTTATTTCCATTTGTGAATGCAAAGTTTTTGTTCGAAATGGACCCCAATATCAGCTTCCCCACTAAACGGAAAGAAGCAGGAATTTTTTCGAGAATCACTTAGAATATCAAGCTGGATCAGTTTTGACCGATTGGCATATAGCTGGTGTTTGTTCGAGTAAATATATGACGGGGTTTATTTTCTTGTAGGTCGCCAACGATGTGGGATTTGAGCTTCCACCGCCTGGACAATACGCTGTTGGCATGTTTTTCTTGCCCACATCAGATAGTCGCAGAGAAGAAAGCAAAAATGTATTTACAAAGGTATTTTTTATTCTAAATGCAAAGTAAATATGTTTTTTTTTTTTTTAATTTTGAAATTATCAGTTTCCAAAAGCCTTTATTGAAACCTCTGCTCCAGAGGTATCTTATCATGTCTTTAACGTTCCCCTTGGTTTGCTTATTTATGCGTCGGGTTGTCAAGGGGGGGATTTTATTTTCTCTGTCCTACCATATCATAATGGTGATCATCTTTAGCAAGAAGTTCATTCTATATTATTTTGTTTTATATGCATTGTGCTGTTATGCTCGTTGTGATTTTTGATTCAAGAAACATTTTCTTGAAAATCTACTTTGATATGTGAAGGTTGCGGAATCTCTTGGACACTCTGTCCTTGGTTGGCGTTCTGTGCCCACAAATAACACTGGACTGGGCAAATCAGCCCTGCATACAGAACCAGTTATTGAGCAGGTGTTTCTGACTCCTAGATCCCAGTCGAAAGTTGATCTGGAAAGACAGGTACTTTCTCTACTATTCACATAAGTGCCAGGGTACTTTTTCGTCAAAAATTATGAAGATATGGTTGGATCAATGCTCCATTTTCGTGACAAAATGTTCAATAAAACCTGGAATATTGTTGGAAAACTAACCTACGTCGGTATATTATGTTTTAGACATTTCTTAGAATACAGACAACAGTTGAATTCATTTCTTGACAAGCAAGTGGTTATGGAATTCTCAGCTGAAATTATTTTATATATTTATTTCATGAATTATAATGGAATTTTTTCATGCTCAATGTATTTCTGGTTCCTATATTGCAGATGTACATATTGAGGAAGCTCTCCATGGTTGCTATTGAGTCTTCCTTAAAACTTCAAAATAACGGTGATACAGATTTCTACATCTGTTCACTTTCATCAAGGTGTGTTAACTAATGCCACATTCAGCACATATAATCTAGAAATGCCTCAAAGAAAACTTCAAGGCACTTTTGGTTTTTATTATGTCGTATGAGAAATTATCAGTTCTCATTGTCACTTTCTTGTACAATATGTGCAGGACTGTTGTATACAAAGGTCAGTTAACGCCAGCTCAGTTGAAGGATTACTATTTTGCGGATCTTGGCAATGAAAGGTTTACGAGCTACATGGCCCTGGTAAATATATTGCCCCATTAACTTATATTTCTCTGCTAACTCTATACCCCAACAAACAGCATGGAAATAACCAGTCACTCAAGAGGTGCAAGGTTGAGGAATGACTTCTGAGGCATTGAGGTTTGAATGATCTCTTAAGTACTTCCACTTCCTTGATTACTATTTGAATTTGGACACTGGATTGCATGCTAAGTAGGAGTTGGTAAGAACGTTCATTATCAAGATAATGTTTGCAGAAATTTCTGCTGATAATTTCTGTGGCATGTTGGTGTGGAGGAAAATTTCATTTGAAGTGTTGTGGGAAAGTGATTTGGTGGAAATGCAATTCAATTTCCTGAAATTTCTGCACGCACTAGCGTGTGTGTTGAAGTGCCTTGAAGAAAATTTCATTTATGCGTTTCTTTCTTCTATACAAGAGCTCATCATATGGACTGAAATCTTGAATACTAATTATTGTGTAGGTGCACTCACGGTTTTCTACAAATACCTTTCCTAGCTGGGACCGAGCTCAACCTATGCGCATATTAGGTCACAACGGAGAAATCAACACTCTTAGAGGCAACGTGAACTGGTATGCTTTGAATCAGTGTTGTTACACCCTTGTACTCTACTGTTATTTAGAAACTAGAGGAATAACTATTATCTTGCATGCATATTTAAATACATATAATGCATCTTGATGCTGCCTAAAATGGATCAACCAAATAGTGGATTTTCCTTTATACAGTCATTGCCAGATTAATCGTGTGTAAGCGTGATGCTCATTCATTTCAAAATGGGTGCAATAGCATTTAGTGTGGTGCCAGACTTATTGCCCTTTTACAGAGGATAAATCAGCTGGTGTTTTTCACTTATAGGATGAAGGCACGTGAGGGTCTCCTCAAGTGCAAAGAGCTCAATTTATCTGAGTCTGAGTTAAAGGATCTTTTGCCTATTGTTGATGCCAATTCATCTGATTCAGGTGATTTTGATTTAAAATTTCCATCTTTGCTGCATGTATACCAACATATATGGGTGAATCTATGTCTACTTGCGTTTTGGATTGTCAGGTGATTTTCTGCAATTTCCTTTCCTTTTTCTATTGTAACTGTGGTGATATTTCTTTCTTCTGTAGGAGCTTTTGATGCTGTCCTTGAGTTTTTGGTTCAATCTGGGAGAAGTCTTCCAGAAGCTGTTATGATGATGATTCCTGAAGCTTGGCAAAATGACAAAAACATGGACCTTCAGCGTAAATCATTCTATGAATACTTCTCGGCCCTCTTAGAACCATGGGATGGGCCAGCCCTTATATCATGTATAATTTCACAGGACTCCACAAATGCATTTTTCCTTCTAAAACGTTTTTTGGGCATTGTTTTCATTTAATTCATCCTAATTTGACCTATTTGCAGTTACCGATGGTCGCTATCTTGGGGCTTCATTGGATAGGAATGGACTACGACCAGGCCGTTTCTATGTCACACATGGTGGACGAGTAATAATGGCCAGTGAAGTTGGGGTAGTAGACATTCCTCCTGAAGATGTATGTAGGAAAGGTAGACTTAACCCTGGCATGATGCTTCTGGTGGACTTTGAGGAGCACGCTGTTGTAAATGATGATGCCTTGAAGGAAAAGTATTCATTGGCAAGGCCTTATGGGGAGTGGCTCAAAAGACAGAAGATTGAATTGAATGACATAGTTGAGTCAGTTCATGAATCTGAAAGAGTGCCGCCAGCCATAGCAGGAGTGGTACCGGTAAGTATAACCTAGCAGCCAACGTGGACTACTCATAAATTTCTAGTAGAGAAGTCTTATTGTTGCCTCTACTGTGAATCACAGGCATCTAACGAAGACATGAATATGGAAAATATGGGAATTCATGGATTACTGGCTCCGCTGAAAGCTTTTGGGTATGCAACATTTTTTTGAACCCGTTCTATTCATGTTAGCTGGGCAATAACTGATTTTACATTCTGTTTACTCATGCAGTTACACAATTGAATCTCTGGAAATGTTATTACTCCCCATGGCAAAGGAAGGTGTAGAAGCCCTTGGGTCCATGGGGAATGATACTCCATTGGCCATCATGTCTAATAGAGAAAAACTCTCATTTGAATACTTCAAGCAAATGTTTGCTCAAGTAACAAACCCGCCAATTGATCCTATTCGAGAAAAAATTGTAACTTCCATGGAATGTATGATTGGTCCTGAAGGTGATCTAACCGAAACCACTGAGGAACAATGTCACCGTCTTTCACTAAAAGGCCCTCTTTTATCTATGGAAGAAATGGAAGCTATTAAAAAGATGAATTACAGGGGATGGCGAAGCAAAGTTATAGACATAACTTTCTCTAAGTGTTGTGGCAGGAGAGGATTAGAGGAAGCCTTAGATAGGATTTGTGCAGAATCACGTGCTGCAATCAATGAGGGTTACACCGTGCTTGTGCTATCTGACAGAGGTATTATGCTATGATGCTACTTTTTTGTGAATTTGTTACATTTTATACTTACATGCTGATACTATTAAAAAAGCAATCTTACATTTATTTTATTTGAATTTGGCATTGAATTTGCAGCCTTCTCAAGGAATCATGTTGCTGTGAGTTCTCTTCTGGCTGTTGGTGCGGTCCATCAACATCTAGTTAAAACACTTGAGCGAACTAGAGTGGCCTTAATTGTTGATTCCGCAGAGCCACGTGAAGTCCACCATTTTTGCACACTTGTTGGATTTGGTGCTGACGCTATATGTCCTTATTTGGCTATTGAAGCAATTTGGCGATTGAATGTTGATGGAAAAATCCCACCAAAACCAAGCGGTGAATTTCACACAAAAGATGAGCTAGTTAAGACGTATTTCAAAGCTAGTAACTATGGAATGATGAAGGTTCTTGCCAAAATGGGAATATCGACCTTGGCTTCTTACAAAGGTGCTCAAATTTTTGAAGCTCTAGGTCTTTCATCAAAAGTGATAGAAAGATGTTTTGCTGGAACTCCAAGTCGAGTCGAGGGTGCAACATTTGAGATGCTTAATCAAGATGCGCTGAAATTGCATGAGATGGCATTCCCTTCTCATGCCTTCTCCCCTGGTAGTGCAGAAGCTCTAGCACTCCCAAATCCTGGGGATTATCATTGGAGAAAAGGTGGTGAAATTCACTTGAATGATCCAGTTTCCATAGCAATGCTTCGAGAAGCTGTCAGAACTAATAGCAAAGATTTTTATAAACAGTACTCCAAGCTAATTCATGAATTGAATAAGGCTTGCAATTTGAGGGGAATTTTGAAATTTAAGGAGGCAGCAATTAAGATTCCCCTCGATGAAGTAGAACCTGCCAGTGAAATAGTTAAAAGGTTTTGTACTGGAGCCATGAGTTATGGGTCAATATCGTTGGAGGCGCACACCACACTGGCGATTGCTATGAATAAAATTGGAGGAAAATCTAACACAGGTTTGTGAAATCCCTATTCATTATTTCTGGTGATTATTTTTCCATGTTTGAAAATAAGACTAACGTTAAAGTATTTCTTCAAGTGTTGAAAATGTTCATGACACTTTTTTGATCACTTCTCATTTTATTTCATGAAAATCTGTCACAGGTGAGGGTGGTGAGCAACCATCTCGTATGGAACCTCTTGCTGATGGTTCAATGAATCCAAAGAGGAGTGCCATCAAGCAAGTTGCAAGTGGGAGGTTTGGGGTTTCAAGTTACTACCTAACAAATGCTGATGAACTACAAATAAAGATGGCTCAGGTACTTTCAGTATTAAAAGTTGGCATTTCCAGATGTCATATCTATGTAACGGTTGGCAAAAAAAAAAAAATTCTATGGAATGTATCTTAAAAAATTACTGAACAATCTCTTTCCTCTGCATTTATAGTCATGAAAGATGATTTTGTAACTCTGGGGCGTCTCTTGCTGCTCAAGAGTCATTTCTTTGACTAATACCCAAAATATGGCTTTTGATGAGGTTAAATAGAGACGAAGTTTTCTCTTAACGAAGAATTTTCTCACGCTTTATGTCCACAGGGAGCAAAACCTGGTGAAGGAGGTGAACTTCCTGGCCACAAGGTTGTTGGAGACATTGCTGTCACTAGAAATTCAACTGCCGGGGTAGGACTTATCAGTCCACCGCCTCATCATGATATATACTCCATTGAAGACCTTGCCCAATTAATTCATGATCTAAAGGTATGTCTATATATTATAGCTTTTACCCTTTTACGACAGGCAGCTTCTAGTTGAATTTTCTTCTTAAAGTGTTCTGCATTTAATTCCTTATTATTGATCTGTAGAATGCCAACCCAAATGCTCGCATAAGTGTGAAGTTAGTGTCTGAGGCTGGAGTGGGCATAGTTGCTAGTGGAGTTGTTAAAGGACATGCTGACCATGTCTTGATCTCAGGTCATGACGGAGGTACAGGGGCATCCAGATGGACTGGCATAAAGAATGCCGGACTCCCTTGGGAACTTGGCTTGGCTGAGACCCACCAGACTTTAGTTGCTAATGACTTGCGTGGTCGCACAATTCTCCAGACTGATGGACAACTCAAAACTGGAAGAGATGTGGCCATTGCTGCACTTCTTGGTGCAGAAGAGTTTGGGTTCAGTACAGCTCCACTCATCACAATGGGCTGCATTATGATGCGGAAGTGCCACAAGAACACTTGTCCAGTTGGGATTGCTACCCAAGATCCAGTACTTAGAGAGAAGTTTGCTGGAGAACCTGAGCATGTTATTAACTTCTTTTTCATGGTGGCTGAAGAGATGAGAGAAATTATGTCACAGCTTGGGTTTCGGAGTGTTAATGAGATGATTGGCCGTCCAGATATGCTTGAAGTTGATAAAGAGGTGATTAAGAGTAACGAGAAGCTAGAAAACATTGATCTCTCTCTGTTGCTTAGACCCGCATCTGAACTACGGCCTGAAGCTGCTCAGTATTGTGTGCAAAAACAAGATCATGGTTTGGATTTGGCCTTGGACAATAAGCTCATTAGTCTTTCTGAAGCCGCTTTGGTAAAGTGTATACCTGTATACATTGAAACTCCAATCTGCAATGTTAATCGTGCTGTGGGAACCATGCTTAGCCATGAAGTGACTAAACGGTATCATTTGGCTGGTCTTCCAACTGACACCATCCATATCAGATTCACTGGGAGTGCAGGCCAGAGCTTTGGTGCTTTCCTGTGTCCTGGCATTACTATGGAGCTTGAAGGTGATGGCAATGACTATGTCGGTAAAGGATTATCTGGTGGCAAGATTATAGTATATCCTCCCAAGGAAAGCAATTTTGACCCTAAGGAAAACATTGTAATTGGTAATGTGGCACTGTATGGGGCCACAAGTGGTGAGGCATATTTCAATGGGATGGCAGCAGAAAGATTTTGTGTACGTAATTCAGGGGCTAAAGCAGTTGTGGAAGGCGTTGGTGATCATGGATGTGAGTACATGACTGGCGGGATTGTTGTTGTGCTTGGGAAAACTGGTAGAAACTTTGCTGCGGGTATGAGCGGGGGTATTGCGTATGTTCTTGATGTTGATGGACAATTTCAATATAGGTGCAACCAAGAGCTTGTAGATCTGGATAAGGTTGATGAGGAGGAGGATGTCATTACTCTCAGAATGTTGCTACAACAACATCAACGTCACACTAGTAGTCTTCTTGCCAAAGAAGTGCTTACCAACTTAGATAATCTTCTTCCTAAATTTATCAAGGTGTTCCCTAGGGAGTATAAACGTGTTCTTGCTAGTATGAAGGCTGATGTAGCCTCCAAAGAAGCAGTGGAGCATGCTGCCAAGGATGCACAGGAGCTAAATGAAGCAGGAAAGGAAGGTAAAGATGCATTTCAAGAGCTGAAGAAACTTGCTGCTTCATCTTTGAATGAGAAACCGAGTCAGGTAAATTTTACTTTGTAATTTAGAATGACGCGAACTTTGTGCCTGGAGAAACCATTTTTTTTTTTTTTTAAGTATAAAAAAGAACAAACGTGAACCTTATGCCTTCAATGGTGACTCTTCTTGCCTTAACATCAATCTATTTCTTATTCTTTTGGCTCAGTTTTCTTAAACAGTGGCAGGAAATCTATTTTTGGAAGAAAAAAATCTCAATCCTTCTTGTGGTGTTGGCTTAAATAATGTGCTGATGCCATAAAAGAGATAATGTTAAATTTACTAAATTGTGAACCCTCTGCCGTGTATACTATGATAGACCCTCCTATCTTGGGTGGATACATGGTTGGCATATTTGTTTCATTATTGTTGAAGTTTTATCTTAAAATACTTTGAAGATATTAAAACCGCTATTTTTTTGTACATGTTTTAGTTGGCTAATGTGTCTTGAATGCCCAGAAGCTTGATCAGGCTAAAGCATCGAAGAGGCCTACTCAAGTTGTTGACGCCATTAAGCATAGAGGTTTTGTTGCTTACGAACGTGAGGGAGTTCAATACAGGGATCCCAAGGTTCGCATGAGTGATTGGAAGGAAGTGATGGTGGAGGGAAAGCCTGGACCACTTTTGAAGACTCAGTCTGCTCGTTGCATGGACTGTGGTACTCCCTTCTGTCATCAGGTAGGCATTACCTAACAACTTTCTTTCTTAATTTGCAAATTTTTAGCTAAATATATATTTTTTGCATCAAAATTTCAGGAAAATTCTGGATGCCCTCTTGGGAACAAAATCCCAGAATTTAATGAGTTAGTGTACCGAAATAGATGGCGGGAAGCATTAGAGCGTCTTCTTGAGACAAACAACTTCCCTGAGTTTACTGGTCGGGTATGCCCTGCACCATGTGAAGGTTCTTGTGTCCTTGGTATTATTGAGAATCCTGTATCTATCAAAAGCATTGAATGCGCCATCATAGATAAGGCTTTTGAGGAGGGTTGGATGATGCCTCGACCTCCGTTAAAGAGAACAGGGTATGCCTTGTATATAGTTTTATTTTTTTTGTTTTTTTCCTGGTGTTCCTTTCAACCAAATAAATACCATCTTTGTATCTAGTAAATGGTGAATTTCTGTTACTAAATTGTCGAATACCTTTATTGAAATAGGAAAAGTGTTGCCATTGTTGGAAGTGGACCAGCAGGCTTGGCTGCTGCTGATCAGTTGAACAAAATGGGCCACATAGTAACTGTGTATGAGAGGACTGATAGGATCGGAGGGCTTATGATGTATGGGGTTCCAAACATGAAAGCTGATAAAGTTGATATAGTTCAACGGCGGGTCAACCTTATGGCTGCAGAAGGAGTTAATTTCGTGGTGAATGCTGACGTTGGACATGATCCTTTATACTCCCTCGATCATCTTCGAGAGGAAAATGATGCCATTGTTTTGGCTGTGGGAGCCACAAAACCAAGGTGAGAGATAGTAAGGAATCCCACATGTTTTATTTTATCATTCAGGTTCAAACTTTCTTGCAATACAAATACAAGTATCACAGAATCAAAATAGTTAAAGGAAAAACCTTTAAAGGATGTTATTTTGCAGGGATCTTCCTGTACCAGGACGGGAGTTGTCTGGTGTTCATTTTGCCATGGAGTTTCTTCATTCAAACACTAAAAGCTTGCTTGATAGCAATCTACAAGATGATGACTACATCTCTGCCAAGGGCAAGAAAGTTGTGGTCATTGGTGGGGGTGACACTGGCGCAGATTGTATAGGGACATCCATTCGTCATGGATGCAGCAGTATTGTAAATCTGGAACTTCTTCCTGAGCCACCACGAACTAGGGCCTCAGGAAATCCTTGGCCACAGGTTAGATCCTTCCCCCTACCTTATTAATGGTGTTCTTGTAGTCGTTCCATGTTTAACTGCCTCCTTAGCATTCAATGCATGAGATCAGTCACCTTTGTCATTTATCAGATGTTTTAGCCGCTTTCTTTTTACTGATTTGGCTTGTTAAATTGAAATGGAATGACCAAAGAAATGCCAATATCTTGTTGATAGTTGCAACACCGTGTATTTTTGGATGCAGTGGCCTCGAATATTGCGTGTAGATTATGGGCACCAGGAAGCTGTGGCAAAATTTGGCAAAGATCCCAGATCTTACGAGGTATTGACTAAGCGGTTTGTGGGAGATGAGAATGGAAATGTGAAAGGGCTTGAAGTGGTACGTGTATGCTGGGGTAAGGATGATGCTGGCAAGCTCCAGTTTAAGGAAGTTCAGGGCTCTGAGGAGATTATTGAGGCTGATCTAGTCTTACTGGCAATGGGCTTCATTGGTCCTGAGTCCGTAAGTGTTGACAATAGCTTTTTCTTAGCATGCTGAATTGGTTATTTTCTTGATGATGGATAAAGTCAAGAAAATTTTACTGGTAGTGTCACTTGTGAAGCTCACACACAAGAAATGAGTTACGACCTAAAAACGGACTTTATTATAATCTTGTTCCAGAGTTGATCACCTTCCTAACTTGCTTCTTTTCTTTTACAGACAATCCCAGAGAAGATGGGCTTGGAGCTAGACAATAGGTCAAATTTGAAGACGGATTATGGCCACTTTTCAACTAGTGTTGATGGCATATTTGCAGCTGGGGATTGTCGGCGTGGTCAATCCCTGGTAGTCTGGGCAATCTCAGAGGGACGGCAAGCCGCCAAACAGGTAGACAAGTACCTTACTGTAGACAAGGAGCTCAACAATATTGGTGGGCATCAGAGGAACTTGTGAAGAGACAGAAGGACCACCTCACCAACAAACGCACTGTAGTGACTTAAAAGACGTCATTTTTCCATCTCAAACAGTACCAAAGGGAATTTCCCAGTATGAAAAAGATGATAGAGATCGAGCAAGGGTTTAATTGGCATGCCCAGGCAGTTTTAGTTGCCAAAAGGGCATTGATAAAGGAGAAAATAATAAAGGTTAGAATTTAGCTTCTTCTTCTCCCCCCTCCCTTTTTTTCGTGAGAAGGTTGGAATTTAGTTCAAGCGAAGGTAGATTAGATCGTTTTGAGGGGTTTAAGGTTATTTCATATAGAGTCCAGTTTTAAAGTGTTAGATGCCGTCTTTCTTGCCGGGAAGTTAGTTCTTTTGTAAGTTTAAGAAATGTACAGTTTGCAATTCAATCTTCATTCGAATTAGATAATTATTGTTTGGATGAAATAATATATCACTTGCCCCATATTCTTGTCTGGAATAGGGAACGAATCTATTGAAGTTTGTTGTTTCAGTTTTCTGAAATTGAGATTATGAAGTCATTTCCTTTTGGAAGAATCTGCGCTTAGTAGTCAAGTGATTGTTGATTAAATAAACGGTTAGCCATTGCTGTATCTTAATGATCAAACTTCTACAGAGCAGAGGAACATGAATTTAACTCAGACCAAACATCACCTAGCGACTACATAAGTTCTTGCACTATTGATTCTAGAGATTATGTTCCAGAGAATAGCTAGCGGTAGCAAAGGGAATAGTTTGATTTGAACTGATGAATGAAGTTCAATGTTCAACGGTCTATGTGTTTGTTGAACATCTTTCCTTTAAGGAAGACCGAATGCGAAATGTCATTTATACTTCGGTCAAATCTATGAAGTTCCTGAAATGTTGGAGGCGGCAAGTTTATGAATTTCATAGATTGCTAACACATTTCTGCTGAAATCAAAAGGAATATTTTTTTTAATGAAATTAATGGAGATATAAGGTAGATCAGCGACAAATCAAAGGAACAAGGAGCCAAAATAAATACGAGAAATAATGCTAATGAGATTTTAAGGAAAAAGGTGAGAACATGACCCAAAAGGCAAAACAGAAAACCCCAGAGGGCAAGAGTGGGTACAACAAAAATCTTCGCAACTCAACCGCCCAAAAGCATGTGATTAACGAAGTGATAGCCCTGATGTTAATTTGGGCCATAATGTGAATTAACGAATAGATTTGGGCCGTTTATGAATTGTCGGAGATCTAGTGGTTTCTCAAGGCCCAGAAACAAAATCAAAAAATTGTGGCAAAAAACTGATAAATTTATGAACGTTCGTTCATGCATGTTAGCCCTGAGCAGCGAATTCTCATATAATTTGTTTTTTCAATCATCCACGCATACTGTTTCTTATTATGACTATTAATAGACAGGTTTTTATTGAAGTGAAAACAAAAGCCAATCACTATTGATGCCCCAAAAGCACCTATTGACATAATTTAAGATAAAATTACTCTCATACACTATCTTCAGTCTTTAATTTAAAAGTTATATAACTAATTATAGAATATTAAAAAAACTAGTTATATTAGTTTTTTGTAATAAATGTGTGTTGATCTTCTTAGACTATCTTCTTTAATATTGAATTATTGGAGAATGGAAATATTATGAAAATAGATAAAAAACAAAATAAATTGAGATTGTATATTTAGAATTAAATCTAGACCAGACATAGTATTTACTTTGTATTTAATAAACGATGATTAAAAAGGGCTTTGAAGCCGCAAACCCTGAATGGAACCGGACAATCATCAAAATAAGAAATGTTTTCCCAATCATATAAAAAAGGTTGGATTTTGCAGTGACAGAACATGATCTTGTTCTTGGTCAAAAAAAAGAACATGATCTTGTTTGTTGGACTAGCATTGGAACCTGGAACTCCACTGGTTGATGAATCCTTTGCGTGCCGCATTTTCCCGCATCACAAGCAGATGCTTGTCCCCATCGGCTTCGTAACCTGCCATTCAAAACCGATGAAAATGGAAGGCTATCATTAATTCAGAGCTTGGGCTTATTTACTTTTGAGAAACATAGGGCAGAATTTGGACAGTTCTAATTGGGTGAAACCTAATGACCGATTTTGTCAGATACAAGAATCAAATTCTGCTGCCCAATGCATTGACCATCGTGGCCTTTCGGCTTTCGTTTCCCTCTAACTCCCATCCCCACATTTGATTCTCTCCGCCTTTAACTTTTTTCCGTTGCTTTTTCTTAGCTTCCCGCAACCATGACTGCTTGGTTCCAGTTTTCAAAGAGAAACCTCAATTCAAAGTCCAGATGGTTGTAGGGTTTATCGAACCTGAAAAAACACAGAGGTTAAAACCTATGATCCGGATATAACACGCCCCGGGTTGCCATCACCAAGTGGCACAAGCACGCTAAGGAATGAGGGAAACTACGTCGTTTTAGGTTCGGCAAGCTTCAAGGAGATGGAATCCATTTTCCCCTCTGACATGATCCCATAACCTGACTCTCGCATGCTGCTTCCTCATTATGTTAAAACTTAAAACTAAGTTTTTTGTGTGACCAAAGTTAAAACCAATTATTTGATTGTCAATAAAAAAGGTTAATGATAATTCATGCAAATATGATTAAATTAAAATTATCTAAACTAAACCAGATTAATAAAAATTTCTTGGCATTGACAAGAAAATATCCATCATCATCCTATAATTATTTATTATTATTATTATTATTAGCAATTATTAAATGAAATTGAAAAAGAAGAGGAAGTTGCTGGTAGAAAATATCTGGGCCCAAGTGGAACACGCAACCCACCTACAGTATACACGTGGCGGCTGACAGGCGCCGAACTGAATACACATTCTTGGGGCCCACGAGGGACAAATCAACAAAAGTTATAAAAGTACGGAAAGCAACCTCTGCCACGCCACGTAAACGCCCTTCTCCACCACATTTTACCAACCGGCCCCACATTCCAGGCTCCCCCCGTATCTTTTACCCACCCCTCAATCACTTCCCCCTCCATCGCCCTTCCACGTATCCCTCCCTCTCATCTGAGCCGCCCACGTCCTGCCCCCTAATATCCCACCCTCTGGTCCTCACTCACCCCATGTGTCGCCAGATCCACTCCCTACTATTCCATCCAACGGCTCTTATTCACCGCCTTTATATCCCTTGCTCCCCTACTTTAAATTTAGCTCCTAGTCACTGTCTTTCTTCCTTCTCCCCTCACATGCAAACATTATGAAGCAGCAAAAACGTCACCCGCCGTCGCCCACGGCGGGCCTCCGGCGATTAAACACTGATCGCAAAGATATGTGCGCTGACACTCTTACAAAATTAAAGAATGCTCGGCTTAGAAGACTTAAAATCCAGCGATTGAAGTTGAAGTATACTTGTGAAGCGAAGATCCGTGTCGCCCCCGAAGATCGTGGGGAGGGGACCAAGTGTGGGGAGCCGGAAAGTGAAGATAGAAAGATTCATGAATCGATGCAGATATCATTGTCGTTAACGACGTCGTCGAAGGAGGAGGATCGGTCGAGTCTGGCGGGGAACAACGGCGTTCTGGATGATTTCAGAGTCGAGAAATACAAAGAAGAACGCTACGGTGTGGAGGACTTATCTTACGGTTCGGTGTCCTTGATAGGTAATAGAAAAGAGATGGAAGATGCGGTGAGCATAGAGGTGGGGTTTGTGGTGAAGGAGAGCACCAAGTGTGACTTCTTTGCAGTTTATGACGGCCACGGTGGAGCCCAGGTGGCGAAAGCGTGCCGAGCGCGACTGTACCAATTGGTGGCGGAGGAGTTGGAAAGGCAGGGGAGAAATGGTGGCAAAGTGGATTGGGAGGGAATGATGGCGGGGTGTTTTAGTAAAATGGATAGCGAACTAGCAGACAATGCGGCGGCGCGGACTGTGGGATCCACGGCGGTTCTGGCCGTAGTGGCAAAGGATGAGGTGGTCGTGGCCAATTGCGGCGACTGTAGGGCGGTGATGGGAAGAGCTGGTGAGGCTTTCGCCTTGTCTGATGATCATAAGGTACCATGCACAAGCTTGATTCTTTCAGTCGCATGAAAATACCCTATATTATTAAAATATTTTAACGAAATTGCAAGTTTTCTCTAGGATAAAAAACCCAGAAATAATGTCAGCTTGGAAGCTGATAAATATAGGCTTTTCTTTTTTCTCTTTTTTTCTTTTTCCCCTCCTTTGTGCCGCCGATAAATATAGGCTTCACAAGGGTAAAGACGAAAAATTATTTTGTTTATAGGATTGTTCAGTTAAAGCCTGAGTCACTGTAACTCATGTACGGAGGATTTAATTACTTTTTTAATTCACAGCCTGACAGGCCTGATGAGCTGATGCGAATAGAAGCGGCTGGTGGAAGGGTCATAAACTGGAACGGCCAACGAGTTCTAGGAGTTCTTGCTACCTCCAGATCTATTGGTTAGTGTGCGACTTCAGATCCTTACCATATTTAATTAATTAATTAACCACGCCATTAATTTGCCCTCGCCATCTATTAGAGTTAAATGGCACTTTTCAAAAATAAGAACGTTGATTCCGCGGTATCCTCTTTACTTGTGTGTTTTCATTTTAGATCTGTCTTGTAGAATAAGAAGGTAAAGTCAGAAAAGAATAATAATGGTGAAAAGGATGAGCTATGTTCCGTATACATCTGCCTTATCATTTATTATATATCTAATTTGTCTAATGTTTCTGTTTTATTCTGAATTTCATAAAGAATCGACATTTACAATAGTAAATAAATGCCTGCCTACCGTTGAATCTTCCTTTTAATTTAGAGATCGATCTAAATTCCTACAAGTAATAAGGAAGAATAAAGAGGAAAGTAGATTAATGTAGGCTTTTGTATTCTTCTTTAAGGAAAACAATGTATGAAAGCTCTTCTTTTAAGGAAAACAATGTATGAAAGCATATTTGTATCAATATACGACCTACCTCCATCTTATCATTAGGACCATAGGTAGTGTATATGTTTATTGAGAAATGAGATAAGAAGATCTCCAGCACTCTCGGCCGCGTTGGCGTTTTCTTATTTATTGTGTTATCTTCAACTAATGGTCATGACCTGCCATTGCTTTGACGGCACCACCATTGTTAAAATAGTTGTACGTGTTTCACGTCTTATTAGATAAAATCTAATACTCTTTGATCCTAAATATAAGTTTTTTTTGTAGTGCAAATTGCACTATAAAAGAGGTCTTATATTTAGGATTGAGGAGTATTATAATTGAAGTGTCAGGTTTTCTGGTGCCCCTAGTCGAATCCTCTCTCCGTCAAACACTTGGAATTGTCCAATTATATATTCTAGCCGGAGAGAAGTATCTCTCTTCCTATATGTGTACATGTATAATCACATTTGAACTCGCATCTGAACTCGGAGCTTAGGTTCCCCTTGATCTATCGAAGCCGCTTAAAAGGCTGAAATTAATGGTTCTCGAAGCACAAATGGAGAATGTCACACTGAGAAGAATGATCCGTATCAGGATATTCTTCGCAATCGACATCCCCCGTTCCCAGCAGCTGCGTAATTCCGTGACATGCATGCTTTTGTCTCTTACTCTCTGCAATAATCAGCTAACTACAGTCTGCAGAAAACAACACGTACAGTTCTTTTCTTTTCTTTTTTTGGGCTAATATGTATTTTTCCCCCCTTATGCGTGGCCCCACGGTGATATTTCTGATCGTCATTATTATGTATTCTTGCCATTATTATTCCTCTTACGCTCTTTGTAGTTTGTACTGACGGTTTTAAGTGATGCAGGAGACCAATACCTTCGACCTTACGTGATATCGAAACCAGAAGTGACTGTGACAAAGCGAACTAACAAGGATGAGTTCCTTATACTGGCCAGTGATGGTTTGTGGGACGTAATCTCCGGTGAAGCTGCGTGTGAGGTTGTAAGGAAGTGTCTTAGTGGCCAAGCGAGACGGAACTCGCCGGAGCTTGAAAACCACCAGAGTCTGGCCAGTGAGGCTGCAGCCCTATTGGCTGAGCTAGCAATGGCAAAAGGAAGCAGAGATAACACAAGTGTGATCGTAGTTGAGCTCAGGAAGCAAAATAATGGACATCGATCTCGTTGATGCTAGCTAGCTAGCTAGCTGTGGCCCTTTTGTTTCGTGCATTCTTTATATCTAAAACTTGGGCATTATGTATATTTTTATTCTTTTCTCTTGTTGCCATTGTTAGGCTCTCTGTCTCCCTCTATTCGGGAGAGACATGTTTGGAAAATGTTAGATCAGAGATCATGTCCGAGAGGGATGAACTTTTCCTCCTTGATGGGAATTGACGAAGTTAACGACTTGCTCTCCCTCTCTTCGTGGCATTCATTTGATTTTAACACTGCGTTCTGATAATCCGTGTTTCTGGGATTGTTTACCTCCGTTGCGGGGTCATAATTTGTGGGTGTTGCGTAGAAAAAGGTACAATGAGTTCGACGCAATCATGGGAATTATGAGAGGAGGGGCGTGTCGCTCAATATTTCAAAGGAGGAAGAATCTGGACGCTTCGCATTGCGTGTTGGGGGTCACGTGAGAATCCAGTCACATGAGGTGTCGCCGATGTGACCCCTTGTTGGGCTTCTCTGTCCTTTTGAGGGGTTTAACCTAATCAGCCCAATTCGGTTAAAAACTCTTAATAATCCGGCCTAAAGATATACTGCCTCTTAAGAGCTAAATGATTAGTTTGGTCATATTAAAAAAATTATTTAAAGTAGTTATTTATTACAAACACGTATTTATTTCTCTAAATTATTCTTTAGTGGAAACTCTTTCCAAGTTACAATCAATAAGGATAGTTTGGGGGGAAAAAAAGAGGGATAAAAGTGGATTAAAATCAGTCTAGCTTTCAATTAGCTCTTATCAACATTGGAGCTATAAATAATATGAGTCGCCTCGGATTTTATTACTTGCATGGAAAACGTATTTAAATGCAGTCATATGCAATTTCAAAGATAGTCTCCTCTTTTATAATTAATTATATTGAATTATAAACTTGATGTGTGGTTATTATTCAAGGTTATATGTTCATTATATTTTAACTTTTTTTTTTTTGGGCGGATTCATTATATTTTAACTAAATAACGAGAAAATTTCCTGGACGTTCTTGCGTGAGAAAACTTAAAATTTAATAGGATATTTTTTTTGTGTTTTTGAGTTCTCGTTAGCATGTAAAATATTTTTAAAAATGAATAATAAATATTTTATTAAGTGTTGTAAGAAAAAATATTGTAATAAATATAATCGGGGGAGTGCTTCCTATTAATGCTATTGTGATTTAGTAGCACGAAAACTCTTTTGAAAGGTTATTTGTTGAATTCTACTTATAATTTTAGAAGTCAAAGTTGAAAAAGATTAATATTATTGTTAGTTTTTATAATTTGATTGAATTTTAATTTTAGTTCCTATAGTTTGATAAGAACTTTGTCTCGATTTAACAAATGATTCAATCCCCATACTTTTAACGGGTCTTGAATTTAGTTCATATATTTAAATTTAAACCAAATTCTTATGAAACTATAGGAACCATAATCAATGATCTAAAAGTATAGGAATCAAAATTGGTATAAAAAAAAATAAATTATAGCAACCAGAACCAAAATATGATAAAACTAAGGAAATGACCAATAATAATAATAATATAATTCTTAAAAAATGGAAGGGGTGTTTCATGTGTTCGGCGGCATGAGTCCGGTAATGTTTCTAGTTGTTTGATATTCCTGGGCAGATAAGCAGCTCCGTAACCAGCGACCTCCCTAATTATTTTGCGGAGGGCGTTGTTCCGGTTTTTTTTTTCCCCTTAAGTGTTAATTTTTTTTTTCCGTTAGACATATATATCCTCAAAAGCAATCCCATTCAATGCGCTATCAAAAACTAAATACATGCATTATTTTCAATAAATTCAAATCTCAATTCGTCACCCGTGCTTTTGGTAAAAAAAAAAAAGCATCACCCGTGCTCAACTCTCATTGGTGTATTGAGTTAGTTGGTCCAGAACACATGGTGCGTGAAACATGAGCCGGAATAGTTATAAAGATTGTCGTCATTTTTGACCTTATACTAGTGGAACTGTTTTTGGGCCCATTAGTCACGTTAGGTTTAGAAGGAAAAATTCTCGCGAAACGGACAAGTAACTCTTTAGGTTCTTTGCTATGGGTAACTGGGTAAGTGACCAACATAATGCTCATGATGTAAAGAAAAAGAGAAGACACAAACGCTTATGGTTCTTGCATATTCCATCCTTCTACATATTTAGTTAGAAAGTTAAATTTCATACTAAATATAAAATTTTATTATATTTTATCTCATATATTTGTTATTTTTTAAAACTAATTTACTTACCTTATAAATTAATATATAATTTAATGTTATGCATGTGTATTTTTTTAAAAAAATTATATCACATTTATTATAATTAAATAATTTATTTATGTTCCTTATTCTATTTGAATCAGTTGGCAGCTAGTATGACTGGGATTTTTTTTTTTTTTTTTAAGGTTGGGGTAGGCAAGGAGCTACAGAGGGTACACGATCAATGTGTTGCATTTACTTTTTTTTTTTTTTTTTGCCAGCCAATGTGTTATATTTATTTGCCAACATATATACACAGTACATGCCTGTACATGTTTTCCAAAGATAAACAATAAAAATTTGGGAGACAAAGGATATATAATCTTTTTAATTTATGCAAATATCTTGAGTATCGTCTTTTAAAAAAATAAATAAATAAAAAAAATAAAGTAGATTGTGATTTTATATTTAAAATTAAATTAAATTTTTAATTAGCTCTTTTTTTGCAATAGTAACCGTACAGACTCAATTAACTCTTCTATTTAGGACTAGAGATAACAGTATTTTGCTTATGCAACACAAACTAAAATAAAAAATAAGTGAAATCGAAATAACATAAAATCGTCGGTACCAAAAAGAAGGGGGATAACGTGAATCGATTAAGAATCAAATCAAATTCAATGATTCTAAATATTTTATGCGTAAAACCTAAAAAGGCCTTTATTTCTGGGTAGCCAGGGGCGGATAAGCACAACAAAGCACGAGTAAGTGCAGCTAAAAACGTCGAGAACCTTCCACGACCGCATTATATTTCTAATCATTTTGAACAATCGTGTGGCCAAAGATCAACGAAGCATCTTTGGACTGAGGACCATGCGGCATCCACCACGTATTGGGAATTAGATCCCTCTTTTTAAATATTGGATTGCTCATCATTATCTTATAATATTAAATTCAAACACATTATTCCTCAAATAACGATGCTTCTTTCTATAATCATCTCACGATATCCTCGGATTCTCCACTATCAGAGATTTATTGTTGTTGTTGTTATTGTCATTATTATCTCCTCTGTCCCTTTCTAATGGGAATGCCCAGCCAATTAAAAGCCACGGCGGCAAAAAAAAAAAAGTAAGCTTTTTTTTTTCTAATTAATTTAAGTGGGTGAAACTATTGTCACAGCGCCTTTTCTTTTTCTGAAAAAAAGGTCCCGAGGCTGGCAAGAGGATTATTAAAAGGGGCAAAAATTACGTTCATGCGCATAAGGAGAGCCTCCTTAACACTTAAGAAAGGTGGGCGCGTGTTGAGCCAAAATCACGTGGAGCCTTTTTATAATTATCCCGCCTCATGCATATTTATTTGTTCACTCTGCATTATTGCATAATTAGCGATAAGTGGATTATATTTTTAGTATGGATCTAAAGTCTCGTTCTCGTCCTACAATTCTAAAATTTTGTGTTCTTTCATTTTTTAAGATTATTTGAAATTTAAAATGTTTCATAATAATTATGATGACATTAAAATTCTTAAATAGTATCAACAAAATATTTTCAAACACCAATATGTTATGTTTAATTTTTAAAATAATAATTAATATAAAAATTTATTATTTATGACTAACAGTAATATATGGGGTTACAGTGTGGAAAAGAATAGAGAGATGCCTTGAAAATGTCAGAGTAAAATATTATACTTCTCCGGTCTTTAATATAGGATTCAATTTTTGAATTGGTTTTGGTTTTAAATATAAAAATTAAATAATGAATTTAAGAATATTTAAAAACTAGTTAAGCTAATTATTTATAATAAATATGGGTTCATTTTCCTAATCTGTCGTCTTTAATCATGCTCTTGATGAGAGTATCTTATGTTTAACAATTAATAGAGGTATTTAAAATATTATAAATTTTAAAAACCAAAGTATGTTGATGTTTTATATTTAGAATCAAATTAAATTTTTAATTAACTCTAAACACAGGACGCAAGGTTTTCAAAACTGAAAAGGCTGATGGCATGATCCAGGCATTGCCGAATTCATTATAACACATGTTGAAGTTAAACAAAGTCATAAACAGTACAATTAAATGTATGAAACACGTCTGTCTTTTGAACTCCCTATATATGTATATATATAAAATATATATGTGTGTGTGTGCATGGATCATGCCACTCTGTCACCAGTCATCAGTAATGAATTATTATTTGGACAGTGATCCACGTGTCAATGTAAATGTATGTCAAATATTCGAGCTCTTAAGAAAAAAATACGCCAAAGTAACAATTATTTATAATCTATAAACAATACAACTCATTGTCCTTACTATTCAGGATCCGGCCTATCTGGTTGTACTGAAATTTAGATTCTAGAACCAGCAAAAAAAATAAAAACGAGGTTTTCAAAATATTTTTTGATAAATCAGGATGAGTTTCGGATTTACATTGGGTGCTCATCAGTTTTGATGAGCACCCAATACTCATCAGATTTGGACTGTTCAGATCTGATTTGGACGGTCCAGATTTATTTTTATTTTTATTTTTATTTTTTAAAAATAATTATTTTAATAGGTATATGATAAAAAATAAATATAATCTTTCAACTATTATTCTTTAAAAATATAATTTTTTTTATTTTAAAATAATTATTTAATAATATCTAATCTGGATCGTCCAGATTAGATTTGGATAGTTTAGATTGCTCATTAGGTGATGAGTATTGGGTGCTCATCACCTGATAAGTTTCTTTACATATTTGCTTAATATATCATAAAATTACTTTTAAAACTATGATTTTGATTCCATCCAAACACTTCAAAATACTACTTACTAATAGTGGCCGCTTACGTAATTAATCTTGAGGCCACCAAGATACTACTCAAACTATAGTGATATGCCAAAAATCATTATATTTTGGACTACTTAATCTTATAATATTTTTCATGCACCTCCGATTTTAGATACAAATCATAATTACTTATATATACATAAAAGTTGTTTAAAATTACTCTTTCTCGTAAGATATTTAACATGTTTTATTTGTAGCCCCCCCCCCCCGGGTATAAGCATATCTATTGCTCCCTTTGGTAATTTGAATCAGTTTAGTCTTTTTTATAAGATTTTATTTAGGATATTTGAATGTTAAATGTGTTTTTATCGATTTTCTTTTTAATTAATTTTTTTATGACCTCTCACCGTTTTCTTCTCATACTCTGTTTGTTTTATTCATTCTCTTATTATTATTAATATTTTTTTCTTATTTGTTCTCTTTTTAAATAAAGATATACTTAAAACATTTAATTTTATGTAGAGTACAAATAACCTAATACTCCTCCGGTCCTAATTATAAGACCCAATTGACTTATTTGAGGAGATTAAGGAAGTAAGTTAAGTTGGTTATTTATAATAAATAAGTGTTGTCATTCCTAAAATATCCTTGCTAATTAAGTATATTGGCTAAAACTATCATTATTAGAAGGATTATCTTGGAAAAAAATGCATAAATATAAGAGATAAAATAGATTGGGGTCTTATAATTATGACCAAATAAAAAGTCAAATTGGGTCTTATAATAAGGACCGGAGGAGTATCATTGTAGGAAAGACAATGATAAGAAAATCTTATTAAATCCTAATTAATCTGTTGGATATTCAAAATATCCTTATTTAGATGATCATAATAATCTTAAATATTTAGGAGTACCATAATTGTATTTAATCCTATATTCCATTTGTCCTTATTTGGTTGGAAAGATTGTAGGCATTGTTTGGGTAAACCCAATGGAATGGAGGCCGGTGTAAATTCTTATCAAAATTGCCCTCGCCTCCAATTCAAACAGAGAGATTCCAATGGGTTATGAATTATGATTCAAATAATGTAAAAAGAGACGTGATAAAGTTATTAGTTTTATTTTAGAATGATTATTTTTCCAATTTCTTATAATCATGAATTGCTTATTATCGAGTCATAGAAGAAACGTGCAGCAAACTTTAATCAGAGACTGAATTAAAATAATACAACTAATATCCTAGTCAATCACTTAAATAAAGATATCTTGGTAGAGGCGGTTAAATGTTTCAAAATATGACAACATAAGATATAAAAAACTTGCATACAGGTATTTCAAAAACTACTGCCTCCCGTCCTTAATATAAAACTTCATTTAATTTTTATTTTAGTCATAAATATAAGATCCTAATCCATTTTATCTCTCATATTTATGTATTTTTTTCCAATACAGTCTTTTTTAATAATAGTAGTTTTAGCCAATATACTTGATTAGCAGAGATATTTTAGGAAAGACAACATATATTTATTACAAATAACTAGTTTAATTTCTTTTCTTAATCTTATCAAATTAGACAATTAGCTTTTATAATTAGGATTATATCATACAAATTGAAACTATCATTGAACTAATCATGACATGGACTCACCGTCTAACCGGCGAATGTGGTGAGAACATTTGTTAATAAATCAATATATTTTGAACGGTATATTGTTAAAAATAATAATAATAAATAACTATTATATCATAAAATGATTATTAAATTTGAATAAAATAATATATGGTTTTAAAAGACAGGAGTATCCGTCGATATTACCCGTTTTGTATCTGTTCGTTTTTTTTTTTGGCCAGCCATTTGATATCTGTTCATTCATTATTCTTTGTTACTTCTCAAATTATATTAGCCCCAGTCATTAGTATAAACCAGCTTATTAATTTGAATATATCAAAAAAATTAGTTAAGTTGGTTATTGATAATAAATATATGTTAATTTTACTAAATTATCATATTTAATTATGTATATAAGAACTACCATTTGTGGAAATATCTTACAATCAATAAGAATATTTAAAAAAAATAAAATTTGATAGATAAAATAAATTAATATCCTATATTAAAAATTAAATTAAATTTTTAATTAATTTTTATATTAAATATATGAGGTAGTATCTTCTAATTAACTGTTTAAAATATACTTAAAAACAAAAATTGGTCAAGGGTTCAATCAGATGCAAAACGCAAAGTCAAAGAAATGTAATTTCCTTTCTTTGTCTGTTCGTCCCCTTATTTTTTTATTCATTGTTTGGGGTTTTTAATAAGAATTTATTTAATTTTTATTTTGATCATGAATATAAAATTTTAATTTATTTTGTTATTTATATCTATCTATTTTTTTAAAAATAATCTTTATAATAATGATAGTTCTAATTTACTTGATTAGTACGAATATTTTAAGAAAGATAATATCTATTTATTACAAATAACTAATTTAATCAATTTTCTTAATATATTTAAATTAGTCAATTAAATATTATACTTCTCAGGTTCTTAATATATGATCTAATTGTTAAGTTAATTTTAATCTTAAATATAAGACTTATTTATCATATTTATTAATTTTTTCTAAAATACTTATATGGATACTCTTTCTAAAAAAAGGAGGAAGGATATTAAGAAAGATGATTATGGTGTTTTGAAAAAAATATTATATTTCTTATAATTAACTGATTTATCTAAAATTTTTAATTAAATTAAATTAATTAAATATGTTTTATATCAAAGATGAGAGGAGTATTAAAATATTGGAGAGTTATTATGAGAGGAGTATTAAAATATTGGAGAGTTATTATTTTGGAAGGGAAATGGCGGGGAAAAAAGAAAAAAAAAAGGAAAAATCTCGAATAAATACAGCTTGAGAGTTGAAACTCCATTATCGTCGAAACCACGCAAAAGCTTGCAGAGGTGTTCGAGACAGAGAGAAGCCGAAGAAGGCGATAGAATAGCGTCTCTCTGTCCATTTTCAACATTCACTTGTGCACTGTGCCCACTACAAAGTCCAGAGAAGTACAGTCTCCTGCCTTTAACGTCAGGCAAGTTTTCCGTATCGTTGAGAACCTTGAATTTGTTCACGGTCGTCTTTTCGTTTTGAATCCACATTTGATAGATGTCACTCTCGGTGTTCTGCCAAATGATGCAACATTTTCCGTCTCATTCGTTTTGTTTTTTGGTGGAGTAATCTCTGGCTTGGACGAACATAGGTTCGCGCAACTTTTGGGTCTACTTTTTTCTCTGGCTATTTTCGTCGAACCCTAGCGCTTCTTTATGGTTTGGCAGTAATCACACAACGTAAGATTGGAAATTTGTTTTTGTCGTGGCTTGATAGGCCACCAAAGCAAAAAAGATTTTACAAAGTTGGTGTAGGGTATTAGCTAATTAGCCAAAGCGTTTCGATCAATGGTCTTGCATAGCCTGGGAATCCGAGGGTTTGTACTGTTTTTCTCCCCTCTTTTTCTTTCCCTCTCTGCTTTTTCTTTTTGTTTAGTCCTAGTTTCTCACGGTTATTTGGTAACCAAAGTACCAAACAGATTATGGGGCCTTTTTCTTTTACTGGTATAACATTACCGTCAAAATTTCGTCTTTATTTTGGCAGAATCTTTTATGCATATGCTATTTGGAACTAGGACACTTAGTTTTTCATACTTCAATTAAATTCTTCGTTGTTTTTGCAATCCAGGTCTTCCACTGCTTCTTCTACTTCTTTCCTTGATCCATCTGTTCTACTACTCCTAGCTTTATATTTCATTGTTTCCTGACTTTTTCATTAAACGGAAGTAAAAATATTTTTTTGGTGGGGGGGGGGGGGACCGCGGCATTGCGCCGCTGTCCTGTATTTTCCCTTTTTTTTCTTTTCATTCCTTTTTATCTTTGGGGTAGATTTTCTAGTTGCTATATATTTCTAAAGTTAAGTGATGATATATTCTGAACTTAAGGGAACTGGTTTTTTTGGTCCTGCGCTGGTTACCATTGCTGAAGCGATGTTTGATATTTGTACAATAATTGTACTCCTTATTCAGAGACTGGAGCTGGAAAAGAAAAAGATAATTTATGGAGGGAGACGCAGGAAGAGGTTTGGAATGCCAGAAGATTATGGATGGGAAGGCGAGTGACATGAGTGCTGCGGAGAAGGGAATTCCTTCCTGTTGTTTGAAGGCCAAGGCGTCTGCTCCAGACGTTGAGGCGAAGTGTCATTCTACTGTTGTTTCTGGGTGGTTCTCAGAATCTCAGTCTTGCTCTGGTCATTATCTGCTATTTATTTTATATTAGATTTATCTCTCCTCCCTTCCACCCTAGGGAAAGTCTGTTCTGTTTTAAGCAACAGTACATAGACTTGATATTTTATACATTGATTTCTATAACTTATTCTTTTTGTCTCTTTCTCTTCTGCGATGCAGAAAAATCTGGAAAATATGTTTATTTCAACAACCCTATGTGGCCAGGTAGGTGTAAAGCCCCGTTTGGTATCTTGGATGGAGAAGCATTTCTTTTCCACTGCGCAATGAATGACATATGTAATGTTTATTATGTCCTTGTTAGTATTATTGATATGCTTTTTGTTTTTTCCAATCTAAGGATAGGAGTTTTCCGTTCCCAAAATTACTTCTTCTTCTTTTTTTCCCCTTTTCATTTCATTTCATTTCATTCTGTCTTTAAAGTGAGACCTGAGTGCTTTGCTCATCAATCCACATATCGTCTATTTTTGTTCGTTACCTTTGTGATGTTGCTGGGTATCCCATGTTCATAGTCTCCTATAGAGCTCCTTAGTTCTTAAAACCTTGTCGAATATTTTGGAACATTGTATCCAGCGAATCATGCAATATCGTTGCTTTTCCTAAACTTGTGAAATTTTGATACTGAGTGTGCATCTTTCTGTGTCTTGCTAACTTTGATAGCTTGCTGCTTATCATTAGGAGAAGCACACTCAATCAAAGTGGAGAAAATATTGTACAAGGAAAAGTCAGACTATCAAGAAGTCTTGGTTTTTGAGGTTTGGTATTTACCCCTTACAGGAATTTCTCTGGTAAGCAATTCTAAGCGATTAACACCAATTGTTTTGGTTTGCAGTCATCAACATACGGAAAAGTGCTTGTTCTTGATGGGATTGTTCAGTTGACTGAGAAAGATGAATGTGCCTACCAGGAGATGATAGCTCACCTTCCCCTTTGTTCAATTCCATCCCCCAAAACGGTAATACAATTAGTCTAATTGTCTTTGAATTAAATATCGAGGGTTTACCCTTTTTTTCTTGTAATATACATAAGTTTTTTTTCGCTGTACTATGTTGTGCATCTTTTTTTTTTTCAATCTATTTGGCGCTTTTCCTGTCAAAACAGTTCTTCCTGTTTAATTTGATCATCCCCACGCAAGTTACTGCATGGAAAATTACAGTGGTTTACCCCTTCTGTTGTGTGTGACTGTAATGTTATTTTCCGCTTTGTTGTGTAAACTAAATGTCTTTGATGGTGCTGGTAAGAATTGTAAATTATTAGTTGCTTGTTGAAATTAGAAAATCATGATTTCCTTCTTTTAAGGATGTTGGCGGTTTTGTGTAAAATAAAGGTATTCACCCGGTACCTAGCTGGATTATATGCTGTGTTTACTTTATTTTATAGTATGTTGTTTGTGTATCTTTGAACTAGTGTAACCAAAACAAAAGAGAAGGAAAGTGGGCTTTCTTGACACTATTCCTTTTAATTTTCTCTCTTTTGTGTCTATGGTTTTTCCTAGTGGAGGAATCAACTTCTAATAAAGGATAGGGCTTCCCTCTTGTTCTATTGTGCAGGATATATTTATCTTAATCTGGAAATAATTTTATTCAACAAATTATTGCAATGGATATGGTATTCCATTGTTTAAATAACGGTGGACTTAAAAGTGAGGTTATGTTATTGTGAAATTGGCAGTATGTCGATAAAATAGCATAATTGAAGTTAATGTTATTTTTCGCCGAAGCTGTTGTTTTTGGGTTATGATATGGGTTAATTGTGTTCTTAAAGTTGGTTTGAAGAAGTTGATTACCAAGAAAAAGCTGGCAAAAGAAGTGGGCGTAGATCATACTATTCTTTTATTTTAGGATTTGTTGATTAATTAAGATCAATTAGGCTTTTCTCCATGTATGATGGAAGTTATCATCTGAGACTCGATGAAGTGACTCTCCCATGTGAGCGCATTATGCTATTGCTAATGCATACTGAAATGAAATAGTCGAATTCACTTGCCTTGAAGTTTTATTGTCAGTTCACCACTATAAGCTGTCTGATAGATACATGGGAATCACTTTGCTCTTTTGGCAGGGCTCAATTGACTGAAGTGCTAGATTTCAAATAATCTGCTTTGGCTGTAACTTTCTTTCCATTTTCTTTTGTCATACCAATAGTTTCTTCTATTTAAAAGTATGGCCTTTATCACCAAGACACGATTCTGCAAATTTAACTTAGAATTATTTCTTTTTGTGTGGCGCATGTTAAATACCTTATTACCTACTTGCCTTCAAATCTAATCCTCTTAGTTTTATATTATGCTAAATGCTTTTTCATGTAAATTCAGGTCCTGGTTGTTGGTGGTGGAGATGGTGGAGTTCTGAGGGAAGTGTCCCGCCATAGCTCTGTGGAACACATTGATATTTGTGAGATAGATAAGATGGTTATTGATGTAAGTGATGGCATGTTTCACTTGTGTTTCCATTTATATCTTGAAGGGCTTATTGCCATGGCTATTATGTAGGCTTCAAAGAAGTATTTTCCTGATTTAGCTGTTGGATTTGAAGATCCTCGAGTACACCTTCATGTTGGTGATGGTATCAATTTCTAATAATCTGCTGGCCTATTTTTGTTTGTTGAGTTGCCAATCCCTATGTTCTGAATTATAATTCACATCAATTGAAATTTGGCAGCTATTGAATTTCTTCGACAGGCTTCAGAAGGGAAGTATGATGCTATCATTGTTGATTCTTCAGATCCTGTAGGTATGACGATGTACTGTATATTGATTCTGTTAAATTCAGTGAGACGTGCATTAATTCGTTTTAGTACTTCAACCTGATTGTTATAGTCACTAAAAAATCGTTGTAGATGTATTTTAGATCAGTATTGGAGCTGGAACCGTTTTCTTCACCTAGAAGCATGTCTGATTGGATCAGGTTGACCTCAACTTGAGAGTTCCCTGAACCTATTTTCATTCTAAGACTATGTATTAGGTCATCCGTCATGAAGTCCTTATTGTGCTTTAAGAGGGAATTCCATTTTGAGTTTTGCTTTGTTATGTTGGCTGGTATAGTCCTTTTTTTAAAAATAAAAATAAAAATAAATGAGCACCCTTATCGATTAAATATTCGAGTTGATGTATTGTTAAATCCATGGACCATGTTATGATTATTGAAACCAGTAAACTATGCTGTGATTCTTCCTTCATATTTTTTGGCGAACATCAACTCACAAAATCACATTTGTAATTCAGGTCCTGCCCAGGAACTAGTGGAGAAGCCATTTTTTCAGACAATAGCTAAGGCATTAAAACCTGGTGGAGTTCTTTGCAATATGGCCGAAAGTATGTGGCTTCACACACACCTTATTCAAGACATGATCTCCATTTGCCAGGAAACATTTAAAGGCTCTGTTCATTATGCATGGGCAAGTGTTCCAACATATCCGAGGTAATTACGTATTTCAAATTGTTGATTGGCTAGTAGTCTTTATTGCTTTCAAATGCTTTTCCTATGTTTGGTTACATCATTCTAACTATCTTGGGCCATGTCTTACTCGTGTCTGCTTTTAGTGTGCTTACTAGTTGGTGGTGGACTTTCAATGTCTCTTGTGAGAATTGAATTTTCTTGCTACCCTTGTTAAATTTTTTTGGTTAAACAAACATGTGCAATGAATGTGTTACTCTGGAAAGCAGCATTTTGGGGATGTAATAGTTACAAAAACCTCAAACTCCTAAAAGGCTAAAGCGAACTCTGCCACTCGGTATTGTAAATGTAATGCTGCTTAACCGACTTTTCTAAATGGCCACCAAAAATAAAGTGAGTTTTCTGAAAACCGTGGATTAAGGCCTTTACTTTCTTTCTGTTCCCTTCCCCCTTCCTTTCAATTGTTAATCAGTTTCCTTCATCATCCATCTAAAATCCTTGGAATGCAGTGGCGTTATAGGTTTTATCCTGTGTTCCACGGAAGGGCCGCCTGTTGATTTTAGAAACCCCATCAATCCCATCGAGAAGGTGGAAGGCGCACTTAAGCACCATAGAGAACTTAGGTTCTATAACTCAGAGGTAAGCCCTTATCATCCACCTAGATCCATTCATTTCTCCCTGTTTTCTTGCTCATGTGCTATGATGTATTCTCTGACATGAGGTCAAAGTGGGCGTAGCAGAATGCTATAGGGCATGGTCATAAGAAAATGTGTCATTATAATAGGGCCATAATGCACTTGGTTGTGATAGTGATAACTCGAAATTCTGATGAGACGATTGTTCTGCAGATGCACTCAGCAGCTTTTGCCATGCCATCATTTCTAAAGAGAGAGTTGAGTTTGGGTCGTGGCACCCCATTGGCAACTGCTCGCTTTTAGGAGCACTCTGGTATAAGATAGAAAGTATGGCGTGCGCGAATAACTGAATATATCTTGGATGGCTTTTTAATTTGAACCCGTAGAGCGGTGATTCAGATTGTATCGGGGATGCATTGAGAATTTTAAGATAGTTGTTTCATCTATTTTAATAAGGTACCGTGTTGAGGGTCATCTGGTACCATTTTATGTTGGAGTTGATTTGCAACTTCTTAATTTATGTGGACGCAAATGCTAAATTTCGTGAGCCGTGAAAGAGAATACAATAATTTCGTCTCGTATGGAAACTAGCTGGGACTTGAATTTGGCAAGAAACGCAGAAATTTGCTGGGGATCTGATTTGTGGTTTGATTAGGCTCTGTTTAATCGCAAAACATCCTGGTCCAACCTGACCCTTTACCGGAACAACTAAGTGGCTCTTGCGTTAAAGAAATTCTTGATTCTTCATGATTCAATTCAATCCTCTCTTATTATGAAAATACATCAACATGAAAAATAGTTTATATGTCGATTTTTTTAATAATTAAAACTAATCTCTGTAAACTATATTCTATACTACAATATTTTTTCACCTATACTAATAAATAAAATGTTTTGAATTAAACTAGAATATGAGTAGTGTGTTTTGCATTGAAATTAAGATAAGCTGTATTATTCACGTCTTAATAAGTATGACTTTTTACACCTTTTATGCTATATTTTTTGCCAACAATTATTTTTATACTACATATAAATTTATAAATTATACATACATACATATATATATTCTGAATTAAACTAAATGAATTTCATGCGTGGGATTTGATATGAGCTACTTGTGAATAATGTCATCAAATGGGTCAAAAGATAATTCCCATAGTCTAATGCTATTTTTATGGATATGGAGCGATTCTTTATTTTCAATTTGTTGATAAAATATAATGCTGTGATAGCTGACAAATTTATGTAATTTTTTTAAAAAAGTTAAATATACTCCTCCAATCTTAAATATAATACTTCTTTTATAATGTAAATTACATCACAAAATGAGTCTCACATTTAAGACCGGAAGAGTAGTTATGTAGCCTATTCTTAAGAAGCTACATACTCTATGCTAGACGGTTAAAAGTTTTTATCGAATTCTGTGGCATATATAATATAGTTTTTTTTGTTGAAAATTTAAAAAATATAATTTCATAGCAAAACACAAAAAACAAAAAATAGAGGACCAAGAGTCAACATCATAACCTCTTGTCCTATACTCCACTATAAAGTGGATAATCAAAAGAATTAAATAGAGTACTAAGAGTCAACATCATAACCTCCTGTCCTATACTCTACTACAAAGTGGATAATCAAAAGAATTAAAGTGAAAAACTTGATCGTGAAATAATCTAGAATATCAAACTTAAAACTAGTTTAAATGTCGCATGCAGAAAGGAAAACTAGTTTACCGGTCAAATAAAGCATGGTGTTAGGTTTATATGCGTCGTTGGAGAACTTCATTCCACAATTTCCATTTCATATATCGGCAATATTTAAGAAAAATAAGAAGTAATATACATACAGTTCATAATATACATTTATATTATACTTCAATAAACTGGCTTTCTTACCATGACACCGTCTTCCTATTGTTCTTCAGCAGTAAAGTCAGGTTCAGCAGGCTTCTGAAGCAGCATGGGTGGTATTCTCTCCTGTACCCTTGTCTTTCTAGAGCTATTTCGGCGTAAAGCTCTGAGTGCATTAGCAGCAAATCTAGAAGCATATATTGTGGCACCAAGACTAGGAGAGCTACCACCTGCCCTGGCCAAAGCATCTTGCAGCCTGTTCTCCTCTTCCCGGAGAGATTCTTCAAGCTTCTTCTTACTATAGCGGCGCCACGCTGCTTGTATGAAACATGCTGCCCATGTACGCCATTGTTGAGAGTAGAATCTGAAAGTATGGCGAATCTGCTTGCTGTGAAGACGTCGAAACTGTGACGCCACGAACTTCAAGTCATCGGCTTTTAGAGCAAAGGCTTCAACTTCTGAAAGGGTTTGAACAGTCCTGGTTGAGATGGGAAGATTGGACGACGTATGTGGGTCCAAAGCCCATGTGAGAAGCTCTTCTCCACAGAAGTCACCGGCCTTGAGGTATTCGGAGTTGAAGAAGCCTGTTCTTCCGCCATTAGTAGTCACTGTCAATAGCTTGCCTCGCATTATGAAGAGCATCTCACTGACAGGGTCTCCTTCCCGAACAATGCAGCTTTCTTCAGTGTGAAGTACTGGCTTGAGACGGTCACACATTGCGTCCATCAGTTGTTCATCCATTTTCTCAAACATTGGCACCTTAAATTCATACGAGGCAAGTTCTAGTTATTACTAACAATATATGGGGGAAAATCAAACATAAGCCCTTCTCTGCATCTAAATCTGTGGATTAATCCCTATGGTTTGAAGGAGCTATAGGATGAATTACAAGCAGGGATGTGAATGGAAGATGCTTGTGGGGTATGAAAGTGGGCCCAAGAAACTTGATGTCCAAATGGTGAGATGTAAAAGGAATAGAAGATTGCAGAGCACTAATTTTAAAGTTATTATTAGGTGAGAAAACTTACTCTCATCAGCAGAGCCAAGCAAAGATGTCGTTTAATATCCCTTCTCAAGTCTTTGGGAAGATTATTGATCAAATTATCTTCGTCAACACCTCTGGTTTCTTGCCATTTGTATTGTTCATACCGTCTGATTCTCTCCCTTAAACTATCTGGGAGTAGTCGATGAGACATCCACTGTTCTGCATCTCTTCTTTTCACTCTCATCTCTTCTAATCTTGTAGTTGTTGATTGCAGATATGTCTGTTTTAAACAAGTTAAAATTGTCAAAACCTAGATAATAATAACCTTAAAGAAAATGACCCAAGTACCAAACTATTGCAACGAGCTTTGCATAGAAAATTCAAACTTAAGACAACTTCCCTCTCTTACCACCCCCTGCCTCAGGCATAAGCGCTATGGTTATATAAAGCAGCTTATCTGTACAGTCCACCCAATAAAAAAGGAACCCACATTCTATGATATTTCTAACTCAGACAGAATGTTTAACTTCACCTGACTGAATGGTAAATAGACAAGGATAATAAGGAGACAGTATATAACTACTGAAAACATTCAGTGTATAAGGATTAAGTAACAGCAACCAGTCAGATTCAGCGTATATGATTACTGTGACAAATAGACGCCAGAAACATTTGGCACTAACCTGCATGTTTCCTATGAGAAATGAAAACAACACCAGACCAAAGATGGAAATGAAAACTGCAAAGCATATCTCCAAACGTAGGTGCTTGTTTCCAGGTTCTGACCAAGAGAACTGCAGCAAAGAAGGTATCCCAGCTCCCCCAGAGGGGTGGGGGAAAGATTTTAAAAGGTCAGCAAAATCCAATAAATGAAAATGGGCTCCATATGAGTATTTAAGATATATTCATGCACTCATCGTTATGAACTGGAATACACAAAATGATATTTGACCGAGGTTCCGCACCCCAAAAAGAATAAAAAATAAAGAAAGAAAACAAAAACTTTTCATAGAGATTGAAAACTGAAGCCAATACCATTCTCTATTTCTGGATCAGACACGAAATTCAACTTACTATTAATCAAAATTACATACAAGAATTACCCCCTTCCTATCCACCCTTGCACACAAAAAGACTCATGGACAGACCCATATTTGCATATCATTAGACATAAACACAGAGGGAGAGGGTTCAGCCACAACTATGGGTTTACTCAGTTAATGTTCCTTTCACTTGATTCAAACTTCAAGGCATAATTATCCAAGTATCTTGCAAAATGATATCACCAAGTTATAATTTAAAACAATTTATTTAAAAAGGTTCATAAAGCACACCTTAGATTTCTGAGGCCCCACCAAAAGCAGTAAAAAAACTTCTGAGGGAAATCTCTTGACTCCACGACACCAGACTCAAGCGCATCAAGAAATATTCCAAAATTGAATTTCTCTGAATTCTCCACTATTGGGCAAGAAGTATTCAAGAATGTTGCAACATTGCCCAACACTTTACCTTTATCACAATACAAATATGCATCCTTGCAGGTAGGAGTGTTTCTTAGACAGGCATCTTGCCAGCATGTTGTCTCTCTTTCTATAGAAAACAAGTACCAAAAGGCACCTACAACCTAAGAGTGAAAAATTACTGAACAATCGGAAAGAATGCAGATGACGATGTTTAACATTTTCAAACGTAGGATAACTTTCATAGCATGACTCACTAAAAACCATAGGTCTTGAAGTGTGAAAATTAGATAAAATCAACATATTATCATGTATCAACTTACCAAAGACATAATCAAAATTGCCATACAGTTGCCTGAAAATGTATTCAAGCTTGAAGAAATTCTTTAGGAAACTTTGACTCAGCAAACAGTTTACAACATTTGATATCTAAAGCAGCAAGTGAACAGTATGGCCATGCTAATGATCCCATAACAAGAATAGATTTATAAACTTCGAAAGTGAACTAGAACAAACAAAAAAAAATAATAATAATAATAGAAGATATAAAACAATGCCTCATACTTGAAACAAAGGAAGCTTCAAGTTATCCATAGAGTGAAAGTCTGAGTCTAATTCAATGGTTTAAAATAAAAAATAAATAAATAAAACCATAACCAATGGTTAAATCATATAATTAGACATGCTCTAATGATCCTTGTGTTTAGGGAAAAACGGAAAAGGATATCACACGATGATAGCATACCAGGATAACTATACTACACTAGAGTTTATTTTTGCATGTGCATGCGCGCGCACACACAAAATGCATGCGTATTTATTTTCACACCACTCAATATAGCGAAATTTTCATGCAAATAATGAAGTTTAAGAATTGATTCATATAGGACACAGGCCTTTGCTATCATGTTCAAATCTTTTCCAGTACACAACCGAGAGCAAACATGCATAAAATATGTTACAGCTTATAAAGTAATTAAGCTTTATTTTTACTCTAGGATTTATGTTACTTACAACTTTATAATAGAAGTTTAAGAAACACACACTCAAGCCCTTGAACACAGAATATCTACGAGTCTAAATAGTGAAATACCCAAATTCATACGCTTCCTGTAGCATATTCAAATTCATACTAAGTTAGGACCAAAATCAAATATGTATAATCTCATAGTAACCATAAGCAACATCTGTCCTAGCAGATAAGCTTAATTGATCTAAAAAATAAGACATGACATTCAATCGTAGGAAAAATAAAATCACAATACATGCATTATTATAAACTTGAAATTATATGGAATAATAAAAAGATCAATAAACCAAGAAATACAGTGGAAATAGCTGAGAAAGCAAATAGTAAAAGCAGCATTACAAAGAAATATCTTTCTATATAAACAAAAGAAAAACAGCACATCAAACTTACATGACTCGCAAGCATGTAAAGAAAGAGATTAAACGCAGCTCCAGCCCAAGCAGTTTCAGTGATGATGCCAGAGGTCCTTGTCACTTCTTTGTATAATGGAATAACTCGTAAAACCCTTGGCACATATTGGAAGAAAACAACAAATTTCAGCAAGTTCTTCGTGTTCAAGGATTCAAAGCCTCCCATCTTTGGAATTATGATTAAAATCACCACCTACAATATTTTAGCAAGGTCAGTCAACAAGTTTACAAATGAATCCAGCTAACTAACCTTTGAACCTAGAGCCCCACAAAACACTGAACATATTTAATTTAAAGAATTGAACTTATCCTCCATTCTCCATTGTATGTCTAAGTGGGTCCATATGTCTTAACACAGGAAGTAATTGTTTTTAAATTAATCACACAAAAGAGCAGAAGTTCCTTAACAGAGAAAGAAGAAAAGGTTAGCCAGTACATGACGCACAGACTCGTTAGCACATAGGTCTTCACAAGCTTAAAGATACTTTGATTGGCCTCATCAGAAAGTCTATCTAAGGATTAAACAGAGGGGTAAGGGGCTGGAATGGTCTGCATAGGTGGTTACGTAACTTTCTGGACAGTTTGGGGCAGAAGACATGCATGGTAACCGTTCAGAACAATTTTGTGGTAATTTTAAGGTTTAAAAGAGTAAAAAGAAGAGGACAGGCGTGGACAAATTATAGAGTGATGTATGGAAGAACTCCAGTGTCCCAAAGGGATTTGCTTTCCTGCTGTTTTTCTATCCTAAGTGCTATTGCATGTATGTTGTATAAACTCCTACTCCTCAGTCCTCGGTTCTGGAATCCATCAGATATGCAACTGGGGATCAGGAAAAAGAATAGAGAGAATAAAGGGAGAGGGGGGATACTATTTCTGAGAAATTTTTCTTACCTGTGGGAGGGGAAGAACAGCGAGAATGTCAACAAAGAAGTATGATGCCAGATACCTCTTTGCTATTGCCCAAGCATCTTCAACCAAAACACCTCTTCCAAATACCCGAGAAGATGGTGCAATAAATCCAGTACGAAATTGGAAAATTATGTGGACTATGTAAAAAATATCAGAGAAAGATCTTAAAATAGTGGCTGTAATCTCCATCCTGTAGTCCAATGAAAGGCATTTCTTCTCATCATCAATGACAGGGACATAAAAGAATAAAGGATCTAGTGATACAGCAATAATACACGATAATACAAATATCTTGTTCCACTTCTGAAGGAATGGGCCTTGTGGATCAAGGATTTTCTTTCTAGAACAGAAACTCCGGGACAAATGATTGTCAGAGGGGAAAGATTTGAATGATTTTCTAAATCTCTTTATACCCTCAGAACCAGATTCAAGGCCTCTATTAAACTTAGCTGAAATCGAATTTAGCGTACTTCTTATTCTCCCAGGGTACGTTATGGTATTTTCAGAATATTGACTTTCAGAACCCTTGTCTGAATTCCAATCCCGAAACCTGAACATTAAGTAAACAAATGCAAAATCAGTACATTATCCAAATCTTCTTCCGAACAAGATTCCAAATTTGCCGTCCAAAAAAAAAGAAAAAAAGAAAAACCGAAAGGGGGAAAAAAGGAGTGCAATTTGAAAACCAGTGGCGACACCGGCGAAACAAAAGGCAGGCCTCAGTGGAAAATAACATTAATTCAAAGTTGGCTTCCCTGTTCCAGCAATATGGCAGTAGGGTGCCAAAAAGAGACCGTATGGCAGTTCTGTCTGCTTAGGGCAGTCAATGACAGTCAATGAATGTAAGAAGTAGATAGACATAGGCGATTATTTATTTCACCTTCAAACTTCCAAAAGTTATATACAAAGTAAAGCATTACTGGCCTCCAAGATATTTCCTTCATGTTCATTTGCATCCAGGCACAACTAAAATGTTTCAAACGTAACATAGAGGACACTTAAAACCGCAAGTAGAAGAGCGCATGCATACTCGGCTAACCTCACAAACTTCTCTTGCTGAAAATTCATAACTGGAGCTTAGTTTGGAAAAATATGCTGGATATGATGAATCTGTCTGATAGATCTCAATGAATCTGAACAAATCCCTCAGGCACCAAGCATTTCACTGCCTGCACCTGAAACAACAAGATGAAGAAGACATTCACGGATAGATAATGCATTTCTCAGGAGGTAAGAAAGGCACAAACTCGTCCGTAACAACATCATCAACAATGGGCTATAAGAGTTTGCTTGAGATATTATTATGGAGTCTGAAAATAAATATTCAGAACAATATCTATTAAAAAAAACGACTGCAGTTCCAAAACTGACTTATTTATGCAGAAAATTTTCCAATTCTTCCAAAATCCAATCGTCTGTAACTGGGTTATAAATATCTCATAATATCTAATTCTGAATGTCCCATATAAAAATAGAATTTTTGGGGGGTGGGGGGACAACACAGTAGAAAAACAAAAACAATCTTTTATTCCCCGCGTGCTAGTAATAGAGCACTTAAAGTCAATTTATAACAGAAAGAGGGAAAAGAAGAAACGTACGAAGCACTTAATTCAAACCCAGCAACTGGTGGTGATGAGAAGCAGAGCGCAGAAAATGAAGACAGGAACTGCAAAGGGACCATGAAGAAGAATGATTCCCAATAAAAATCTCAGCAGTTAAAATAGGTAAGAGGAATAGCAGAACAAGATCATGGTGATGGTGATGATGATGGATACCCAATCAGGAAATAGATTGCACTTGTCCAGGCTGGGAATTGCATGAGGAATCAAAGCCGAAGCGATGGACTTCTGACACCTCCAAACACTTGAGGGAAGGAAGAAGAGGGCAAGACGAAGGTTCGCGGAAAGTACAATGGCAGCGATGGCTCCTTCAATCGTTTTGCTCGCAAAAGAGAATATAATAGAACAAACAAAAAGGGGGATATTAGTAATTCGGCTTTTACAAAATTGCAAGTGAAGACGAAGGGGAGAGAAGAGAGAAGGTGTGCGGAAGGTTGGAGTTGGTGATGATGCAAGAAATTCTTGCCTGTATCGGGCCCCACCCCAGTTTTGTACCATTGGCTCGCATTGTTTTCTGCCCGGACAGTCAAGTCCGTTGACTCAAACGTTCTGCTTCAGTTTTACTCCTTATTTTCACTTTTTTCAAATGGAATTATTATATGCAATGCATAAATTTCTTTTTCAAACTGGCTGAGAGTGACACTAATTACGTAATTAAGTAAACATTGGCAGTGTAATTTGACAATGGAGACCGGGCCTTAAATAATGATAAAATGACTAAGCAATATTTTACTTGAGCGAAGCCAGTTTCATTTTGATGCGTTGACCCCCGATGTTGACTATTAAACTGTCCGAGTTAAAAAAAATATGGTTTCTTTCGCTTTTATTAGAAGATGTTTGGGTTAAAATAAAATCATGATTTTAAAAATGTTTTTACAGTATACGAAATAAATATGTAGAAGAGTTTATCTTAATTTACAGAAAGTGCTTCTGAAAAATACTTTTGGGATTACCTAAATATTCACACGACGCAATGTTAACTTAAGGAGGTAGATTTATCATATGTAAGATTATTAATTTCCAAATCAGTTTGACTCTGCAGAAACAAGTTGTGCCGGATTTTGGGGAAGGAGACATAAACGGAAGGAATGGTTCAAGCCTCGTACTGTTTGTACGTATTAAACTAAACTAAATTATAATGATAATATAATTTGGTATTAATGAATGGGAATGGGCTGGGCGTATTTTGGGGGAGGGGATGGGTAAGTAAAGTCAACAGTTGTACTGATAATTCATAACGTGACTAGGATAGTCAAAGTGGGCTCCCGCAGCGATGCCGAGGGATTGTTCATTTTCAAACGACCAATATCCTCTTTCACACGCATTGTACGTGAATCCCCGGTTCATGTTGGTTTAAAAAAAAAAAAAAAACTGGCTCATATTCGTCCTTTTTTTCCTTCAAAAAAAGTATATTATGTGAATTATTAGTCCGTGAAAGTATGAGTTATATACTATTTGCAACTTGTGCATGTGCACCAGTGCATGTGATGACCTTATTATTTTTTTTATGATTATGGAATAATTATTATTTGTGATTGGTTACAGAAGGACATACTTTTACATGATCTTATTAAAATGGTTGCGTCTCCTCTCCTGAGTCGTCTTATCTTGAGATGGTTTAAGAAATAAAAATATTTCTAAAGAACATTGGGCCCTATTATAATTTTTTATATTCCAGATCAATATACAAATGTTAATTCTATTCTATGTAGTCTTTCTTCTCAGATAAAATATTGTACTGCACTGCTAATATTCTAATTTTGACCTGTCAAAAAAAAAATATATATAACACCGATGATTAAATTAATTGAGAATCATTTAATTAAAAACAAATCATCCGTATGTCGGAGCCTAGGCGGGCATCGGTTGCTTGGAGTCAGGGTTGGTTTGGGTTAGGTTTCAAGTTGGAGCCCAATTCTCAGGAACTGGGCTTAAGTTTTAAACATGAGGCCCAATTAGACTTGAGCAACACCTAATACAAGACTCCATCAAGTCAGCGGTCCTTGGGTTGAACTGGGTCCAGAAGACTGAAAAGATCAAAAAGTGCCTCACACAAGGCTCAACGAGCTTGGGGAATGAAATTGAAAAGTAAATATACTGTACTACCTCGGTCCTAATTATAAGTAGTCTTATAATTAAGACGGAGGGAGTATTATTCATTTCAATAATAATAGTTTCAAACTAATACTGGAAAAAATAACCAAATTGGATGCATATAAAACCGATGCCCAAGGCAAGCTAAATTAATTACTAATTAGTTACTACTATTTTTCAGACAAGGGTTTCTTATTTTGGCGGTAAAGTTGAAGGAGCGCAATTCCTGGCGTGCAGTAACTAATTCTCAAGATCCTTATTTTGCTCAGCGCCAAGCCTGGCCAGGAAAATTCCCTTTTCATAGACTCTGAATAATGTCTATGTGAGAACATTCCCAGCGCACCTTCTGAATATCTTTAAGCGCAGACCTCAAAGGACCAGCACCGCGTCCTCCGAGTCAAATTCGATCACCACCGAGTTGTTATTTCTGGTATTAAGATTTTAAAAGTTGCAAAGCATATTGATTTCCAAGACC